TGTGGTAAGAGCTGTATGACCCCCCCCATAAAATTGTTTTCTTTTTAAAAAATAAATAATCTGTCAATTCGAGAGGATGACTAGTGAAGGGGTGGAGTCTGGCCTATCAATCAAGATATAACCAATGAGGCATCTGTATGGGTATGGCCTTCTTAGAATTCTGGGAACTCCTGGGGTGACAGTTCTCTCTCTTGGCTCATTCCCTTGGAGACTTTACTGACAAGGCTCATGTCCTGTGAGCCATTACTGAGCAGAAGCCACATGAACTTACCCTGATGCAGCCCTGGAAACTGGAGGAGCCACATGGAGAACCCTGCCAGTGCTGAGATGCTGCTACCGCCACTGACTTTGTACCCACTGGCCTGTGATCTTGCTGCATTTAGTGTCACTGCATGTATTTCGTGAATCTGAAGAGAACTTTATAGATTGATATCGGACATATGGGCTAATATCGGACTTAGGGACTTGATCTGCACTGAGCTGGCATGTTTTCTCAGTATTCAACTGGGCTTGTATCAACCTCTTTCTTACATCCATGAGTTTTTATGGATTTGTTTTTCTAGTCTACCCGGACTAACACAACCACCCAGGAGCAGAAGCTCAAAAAGACAAGGATCTCCTCCAGAGCTGACAGAGGAAGCCTCCCCTATGATAGGCACCCTGAACTCTGATTTATAGCCCCCTAAGTGATGAAGAGTGGAGCACTAATAGCATACGGAGTTACCCATTGGGCTGCAACTCACAAGGTCAGCAGCTTGAAACCACCAGCTGCTCCTTGGGGGAAAGATGAGGCTTTCTACTCTTGTAAAGAGTTAGTCTCAGAAACCCACAGGGCAGCTCTACCTCACTGTGAGTCAGCATTGGCTCCATAGCGGTGGGGAGGAAAATGAGAAATGTCTGCTGAGTCATCCATTTGTGCTATTTGTTATAGAAACACTTGGTAACTAAGACGAATGTGTTGCCCCTAAGTATAGTCGCAGGCCTTCTTCCACCTCACATTACTAACACCTTACGGGGTAAAACTAAGTCTGTGGGCTCTTAAGGCCATTCTGTCTCTGAGGGGCTCCACTGCCTTTGCAGGCCTGGGACTTGGGAAATCAGTCTGCAGCTTGGACCAACACCTCACAGTCATCGAGTCCATTTCTGATGCACAGCGACCCCTGGTGCACAGGGCAGGGCAGAACTGCTCCTGTGCGTTTCTGAGACCGTAACTCTTTATAGGAGAAAGTCCCATCTTTCTCCCTTGGAGCTCTTCTAGTGGTTTCAAACTGGTGATTTTGTGGGTAGCAGCCCAACGTGTAACCCATGACACCACCAAAGCTCCTGGATCGGCACCAGTGTGGTTTAATCAGCCCTACTCATCTGCTTTCTGTACCCACCTACAGTGTGAGAGCAGAGGAGGAAGAGTCTTCCCCTCACAGTTAAGTGTGGGCGATTGCCGAGTTAAGTCACACACACTCAGTTTAGGTATATAGTACTACCCCAACTCTCAATATTTGATTTCAGAAACATATTTATGTAAAATTCCGGAGAAATCATACGCTGTCCCAATTGCCCGGAAGGGGATCCAGTATTTACTTGCCTCTCATTCTGAAACTACGGAACCTATGTAGCTAATGTTACTCCCCTCTCTAAACGGAAAACAAGGGAACTTCACTATATAAACAGCAAAAGATACTCCCATGTGGCAAGTTTGGATGAGTCTACCAGACATAATTGTTAACTAGGTCACCCAATGTTTCTAAAGCAAATTTCTATTATGAGTTTTTTTCCCTTCTAAAGTTAGCATATCCACCCTGTGGCAAATGCTGGCACTGTCAATACTATACCTGTATCTCCCTCTTGGGGAACCACAAGGGTTAGCAATGAGCCCTGCATTCCATGACAGACAGAAGGACCAGTGATTTTGACAGAAGTGTTAGAACCAGACCAGTGCACTGAACCTTGTTTGCCTGTTTACACCTTTTAAGCAAACAATTCCCATCAGATCAGTTATCTCTCCTGCACTTGATTTTAGGAGCCCTGGTTGTGTAATGGGCTACAAGGTGGGCAGTTGAACTCACCAGCTACTTTATGGGAGATGGGCTGTCTGCTCCCATAAAGATTCACAGCCTCAGAAACCTCAGAAGGGCAGTTGTATTCCTATAGAAACTGTCAGAATTAACATGGTGATAGTTTTAAGGGGCTCTGGTGGCACAGTGGGTTAAGTGATGGGTTGCTAACCCAAAGGTTGGTGGTTCAAATCCACCAGCTGCCCCTTGGGAGAAGACAGATAATGGCAGTCGGCTTCCATTAAGATTTACAGCCTTAGAAACTGAGGAGTGCTACTCCGTTCTATAGGGTAATTGAGAGTTGGAATTGACTCAATGGCATTATGTAGCCGTTACAGTGCTCAGCTGCTAATTAAAAGGTAGGTAGTTTGAACCCACTAGCCGCTCTGAAGGAGAAAGATGAGTTCATCTGCTTCCTTAGAAATCAACCCATATTCCATGATGCTCACCTTCCTGACACGATCGCTGAAGACAAAATGGGTGCAGAAGCAAATGTGGTGAAGAAAACTGATGGTGCCTGGCTATCAAAAAGATATGCGTCTGGGGTCTTAAAGGCTTGAAAATAAACAAGCAGCCATCTAGCTGAGAAGCAACAAAGCCCACATGGAAGAAACATACCAGCCTGTATGATCACGAGGTGTCGATGGGATCAGGTATCAAGCATCAAAGAACAAAAAATCCCATCATTGTGAATGAGGGGGAGTGCAGAGTGGGGACCCAAAGCCCATCAGTAGGCAACTGGACAGCCCCTTACAGAAGGGCCTTGGGGAGGAGACGAGCCAGTCAGGGTGCGGTATAGCACCGATGAAACATACAACTTTCCTCTAGTTCTTTAATGCTTCCTCCCCCACTATCACGATCCCAATTCTACCTTACAAATCCGGCTAGACCTGAGCATGTACACCGGTACAGATAGGAACTGGAACTGGAATTCAGGACACATGATCCCTTCAGGACCAGTGGTGAGAGTGGCGATAATGGGAGGGTGGAGGGAAGGTGTGGTGGAAAGGGGGAACCGATCACAAGGATCTACATATAACCTCCTCCCTGGGGGATGGACAACAGAAAAGTGGGTGAAGGGAGATATCCGATAGTGTAAGACATGACAAAATAATTTATAAATTATCATAGTGTTCGTGGGGGGGGCGGATAGGGAGGGAGGAGAAAAAATGAGCTGATACCAAGGGCTCAAGTACAATGAAAATGTCTGAGAATGATGATGGCAACAAGTGTGCTTGACACTATGGATGGATGGATGGATTGTGATATACAAGCCCCCAATAAAATGATTTTTTAAAAATCAACACAAAGTCTTGGAAACTCTACAAAGGGTTCTTATGAGTCGGGGCCGACTCTGTGGCAGTGGGTTGGCACTTGGGATGGGTCATTATGCATTTTGTGATCCTTTTAGTGTTAACGAGGCATCAGACTTATCAGCTCCCCTGCCTCTGCCAGCCACCTCCATCAGTCTGTGGACTGGTTATTTGTGTACAGCACCTGCTGTTCTCCAGCATAAATCACTCTGAAAACACTGACACTCAATCTCAGATGTAGAAGTACCCCAAAGGTGGCAATAAAGATAAATGTACGATACAAGACTCTCTTGGTAAGATCGTATTTTTATTGCCTATGACACAGATATATCACATAATGGCTCAAAATCAAAAGTTTGGTAAAGGTTAAAGAAAAATGGCTGGAAGTGGGTTTATGAATTCTTAATTTTTTGGTAAATTTCTGGCAAAAAAGTCAGGGGTAGAATCATCTCAAAACTTTGTCTTCAGAACTAGCACCCGTCATCATCTGTCTTTTATTCATCTTGCTGGGAAGGAACGATCAAAGCCAGGAAGAAATCAGTCCCTTGGGAGTGAGGTAGGGAGATGTCACTTTCTCTGAACTGTGGTGAAGGCCGGCATTTGAATGGGCTGGATCGGGTGCACAGACTGAAACACTGGCTTCTTCCTCATCTCCGAGAGCGTTTTCACTGTTGGGAGCAGCTGGTTCCTCTTGATGATCTGTAGGGCCAGCTGGGTATTACCTATAAAAACACTCCCTGTTAAAATACAAAACACAACAAAGCAACACAATACCATGACACCCCAAATAAGCCAGCCACCAGACTGCTAGCCAGAAAGGTGAAAGATGAGGTTGTGTCTGCCTGGTGACTGATCCACAGTGGAGGGAGGGGCGGGGTGGGGATGGAGGTGTGTAGTGTCGTGTGGTGTGTGTACTGGGCAAATAGGCCTTGGAAAGCTCCCTGGTGACTCTGCTCTACAGTGGAGGTCATGAACCCCGCTAGAGGTAGGCTGGATGAATGAAGGGCCCAGCAGTGGGACAAGAGGTCACATGGGAACCAGGCAGTGCCCTCCTTCTCATCACACCTTTCAGGAGGCTGCTGGGAGCCAGGCACTCCTCGGCACTGGCCTCCAGTGGGTTGCTCGCAGGGGTTCCCGGCATCACCAAGGAGGGATGATTTAGCACTCACACAGCTTCTTACCCCTCCCAATTCTCAGTCCCGGCTCTTCCAGGCCTCCCAAGGGCCCAACCCTTTCTATTATGCCCTGGCCTGGATGTCTTCCATGCCCTAGAGCCATGACCTGGACTTAGGCTTGGATAAATAATTCTCAGTAAGAACTAGCTTACTCATAAAACACATTAATGTCATTTACAAAACTCCTGTGTTCAGCTGAGGCAGCTGGCACTCTGACTGCTGTTCTCCATTAAGAGTCATTTGGCCGCTTGAGAGAAAGGCGAATTAGCAGGGATTTAACTGTAATTGTCAGAAGTTATGCAGTTCTGTGTTTTCACAGATGAAAGGGAGTATAATTAGCTGGCAAGAAGCAGGAGTTTGTAGGGTCTCAAGAAGGCCCTAATTACATTTTGTTTAGAAGAGTATTAGGAGGTAGTACTTGGGCTTTGCTAAGGGCCAGAGAGAGGAGCCACTCACCATTCTGCAGTTCCAGGTACACAGCCAGCAGGATGGCCTCGGGGGGTACCTCTTTAGGGTGGATCATGGAGGCTGCCTTTGTTCAAAACAAACAGAAACCCAGGGAGAATCACCAGGAGCGCCCAGCAAAGCCAAAAATAAAAAGGAATTATTAATTTACCAATGCCACAGTCACAAACATTCCTGCAGGCAAGCTGGAGTCTTGGGAGCCCTGGTGGTGCAGTGGGCTGACAGTTCGAGCCCACCAGTGGGGAAAGCTGGGGCAGTCGGCTGCCATGGTGAAGGTGGCAGCTCTGGACACCCTATGGCCCAGTTGGACCACACCCGACAGGGAGTCAGACTCAGTGTGATGGCACACATCACATTGACCCGCTCTGTCCTTGCTTTGTTACAATGCACTCAGGTAAAGAGGGGGCCCACCAGTGGTGGGATGCAGCTAGTTCACAGCAGCTGGGCAGAACAGATACCTATTTTTTTTGGTTGAGTTTGGCAAACAGTTGTTAAAATGGCACTTGTAACCAGGGTTCTCTCTAAGGTGCCCAGCTGCCCAATGTGGAAACCACAAATTTATATTCCTTACTCTAACATTCATCTGCGCAACAGTAATCTTCATTCCGTCCACAGGTATAAAAAAGAAGATGGAGCTATGCTGGTAATATTTATTCATTTCATAAAACTTGTCCTACTTTTGATGAAACACTACATTTTTATTCCCTTGCATTTGTTACTTCAGTAAACAAACATATATCGTAAAAAGTGTCAAACAATCTGAAAATAACACGCTTGTCATTCATTTCAACTTTGTGCTGTGCCCCAATTTCCCCTGAGATATTATGAGTGAGGTCTGCAAGTCCTGAATGTGTTCAAAGAGGTAGAGATATTGCCACAACAGTTGCTGTACGATCAGCAGACGCAGACAGGCCTTTTCAGGGATGAACGTGTTATGTTCAGAGAATAGAAGTCGCCTGTTTCTTTCTAGTCTGTCAAACACAACGACTATTCTCTAATTGGCCTACCTCTAAAGGAATGGGATCCCACTCCTACAGTGAAAAGATGGTTAAGGATAGATCACACAGCCGATGGTGCTTAGATAAAAGCGAAGACTATTGCAAGTGAGGAGGCCAATCAAGAAGTAAGCTGGTGGTGGGGGTGAAAGGGAGCTGGTGTCAAGGAGTTCAGGAAGGAAAATACGGGTTTGAAGGTTTTGAAACTGACCGTGGCAGCAGTTGTACAACACTGCTGAATGTGATTGAACTAGGGAGCAACACGGTATCTGTATTAGCTCCCAATAAGATGGTTTTGAAAAAAAGGGAAAAGAAGCAACATGGAACTATTTTAAGTAACAGTTTTATTGTTTTCTACCAGTATTATTTAATATATTTTTACTGATATTTTAAAACTTTCTTGATGTAACAACGACGAAAACTACAACTTTCCTCTAGTTCCTAAATGTTTCCTCCCTGCTCGCACTACCATGACTCGAATTCGACCTTGCAAGTCTGGCTAGACCAGAGGAGGTACACTGGTACAGATAGGAACTGGAAAT